TTTTCTACATAAATACAATATTCGCACCTAAAGTCAAGCGTGAACATCGTTCATGAAGTGAATCGACTAATTGAAAGCGGTACGGTTGAAATAGGAAACTACGCTGAATATGCTTTTCTCAGCAAGACATTATTCTCACAAACCTTTATTTGGTTGGTTAGCCACAATGGTCGCGCTCACCAACTATTCCTAGTCTATTATCTTTTCCGTCGATGCAAAGATGTAATTTGAAAAAAAAAAAAAAAGCCAAATATTTACGAAATTTTTGCATTTATTTTCATAACATTCCTTCATCAACTGCAATTTCAAATGATTCCCATGGTGCATAACCCTTCTACGAGATATGAAAGCTTCACTGCGATCTTTTGAACTCACAGAAATAGCTGTCAAAATGACAGATGATCTACTCTCCCTAGTTTTAACTGCTGCAGTCATGATAACACGTCTGAGCTGAAATGAGAGAATGACACGAAAAGAGGTCTTCAATGGGGTGATGGCTTTCACGGATGACGGTTAATTCCTCTCTGTTACCAGGGGCCCGTTTCTCGAAAGTCCCGGTAACTTAGCGGGCCCAAAGCCCTGACTTGAATTTAAAAGTTAAAGGATAGGAAAGCTGGTTCTGGCACCCGAACCAGTCCATTTTGTTTCTTTCGCTGAGAGTTTTATTTCATTATTTTCAAAACTTTTGAAATCCCCATCCTGAATGAAAACAGAACCGCTTTAAGGCCCTTTCAGTTACCCAAGACCCGTTGTAATAGAAATGTAAAAAAACTATTGCCAATTATTTTAAACTTGCAAGTCCAGTCGTAATAATTTAGTTTGCATTGTTTCAACACTCGCTCACTTTCCTCACCACAGTCAAGCAATAATGGTCGCGCTCACCAATTATTTCTAGTCTATTATCTTTTAAGGGTAAAACAATATCGAGCTGCTGTTAGGTTTACATAGATCACAGTAACTATCTCTTTCTGCTGATTTTCACCTCCCTATAGCCTCGCTATTCAGAAGCGTGAGCTAACGCGATGAGAATCATCTTTTTCATACGTGAAAAATTTAATAAAAATCTCGAGTCATAACTATGAAGATAACTATTTAGGAATTGACGAGAAAAAAATACGGAAAAAGGGTTAACACTCCTAGTGGGAAACAGTACAAATTTTCATAAATTCTCCTCTCACGATATTTTAGTTCTCAGATGTACACAATAATGTAAACTTATAACGGCACTGTCTCGTTCACCTTCCGCAAACAATATTTCGCTTAGCAGCTGTATACACTACTTTATTTCTCTATATTTCAGCGCATCACAGTCATGGGCTTGATATGGTATTCCATTCTTCACCGTCTCTGGTTGCACCGCATTTCATCCTTTGCTCACATAACAAACATCGTTTTGCAGAACTCCTTTCACGAAACAAGTGAAGTCGCCTTTCTTTTCTCCTTCTTTTTCTTCGTACTTGTCGTTTCTTTAGAGAAAAGGAGAAAATAGCAACACATTTGACTACAACGAATTTCAAAGCCGAGTTCGTCTCCCGGGTTAGCTCAATTGGTTAGAGCGCCGGATTGTGTTGTGCGGGAGGTCGAGGGTTCGAGACCCGGCCGGACCAATACTCGTGGTCTTAAAATAAGTAAGGAGAATTTGCTACCTTTCTATAATCAAGAAATGGATAGATATTCTAGACTTCTCGGATAAGGACGAATAAACCGTAGGCCCCGTCTCCTGGCAGGGTTAGGGGTAGGAGACGTTAATTTCCCACGCACGAAATTACTGTGTGGTGGATGTCCTCCCTTGGGTGGGATGGGTGGGTGTTGACCCTGAAATGCTCCTATGGGGAATGGTCAATTAACCTATGTATGTATGTATGTTGTTTCTGTACCCACTCAAATTGGCAATACTACCTCCATAAATTCCGATAGCGCACAAAGATTGTACCTAAAAAAAATTCCATGATGGACTAACGTCAAGAGGGGTGAGCTGGAAAACGAGGAATCTGGAATTCCGCCGGAATGTGATCGCCAAAGTATTATGTGATCGCGAAATTAAAAACTTGAATTTCGAATAAAAATAGGCGACAAAAATAAATTCTTGTATACGCGACACGTTATGTATCACAATAGTGTACTGTATGACCACGTATGTAATCATATTATCTAAGGTGCATGATGTACAATTACTGTGTCGTAATAGCGACGCACGGTCGAGCAAGAAATAGTAAAAAATTTGCGCTAAGTCGATAAATTGTTCTGCAAAATGGAGTGGAGAAGAAAGTACGCGGATGTTGTATCAGGTATGTTCTATTGCAAGTTTGCTATTTTTACCTTCCCTGTTCTAGATCTCTGGAGATTTACTGTAATTTCCTTTCAATTTCATTAAGGAAGATCATCTTCCTGTGAAAGTGACGCGCACCTGGAGACAAGGTAAGGTGTACTTATAAAGGGAAAGTGCAGAGAGTTTTCCTATGATATTTTTCTTTCGGCATTTTTCGTTAATACAGCTGTGATTAATACATATTTGGGTGTAGGCTGGAATAGGAATAAATTTGTCGTTCCCACGGTTGAAAGTGTCCTCCTAAAACGTGCTTTCGCATTACTAGAACTCGGGGTGCCGTGATAGGTGTCGACGGCATTTTGCAAGATTTTAGGCAGCTAAAGAAACAAAGATAAGAGGGGTTTCACAAGTCTACAAGCCTCCCCCCCCCCCCAGTGACCGAGGTTTAGCCATGTTTTTCATCATTTTGCTCGGACTTTTGTTCGACACCGTAATGGATCTTAGTGGAGGATATCCATCATTAACGGGATAAATTTTTGGAGTTATGGTCCATGTTTTTGGCTTATTAATGTGTTTAGAACGTTTTGGTGTGAATTGCGCAACGAAAGGCATAATTTGTTCCTGAAAGAAATCCACATGTCTAGGTGAAAAGTTAATTCCTCCCTTGTTTAATTTCTGGGGCAGCCATATTCCATGGGGCGTAAATGTGAGTGATTCGAGGCTTTTTCTAACATAAGTTCTTATACAGTGTGTCTTGAGAAAATCTCAGAGCGAAGGGGCTAGAACTGGGAAAAAACAATTCCCTGTTTTCTTTTTAAATTAAGGTAGTTAAGAGATTTGTCTGGCCTGCGGGTGACTAGACGTATAATGCCCTGGAGGTCTAATGTACTTTAGCAGGGGCGGATCCAGGAATTTTTGATTGGGGGGGCCCAAACTTTGGTTCAGAAAGGACTGTTGGACTCTTTTGAAGCAAATTACTTCTCCCCCACACCCCCCACACCCCCTCCCACCAGTCGCGGTTGCACGTTATAATTCCTTGGTCGCTTACCGTTTACTTGGATTCATTAATTTAAAAAATCAGCCAGTTAAAAAGTGATATACGATCCTGCGGATGTAAGAATTTCATTCTCAAAGTTGTGAGCGTCAGGTCTGATGGGGGGGGGGGTCCGGAACCCCCTGGATCCGCCACTGTTTAGAAAGTGTAGATCCACTTAAAATGGGCACTCGCATTTCCCCACTGGTAAATTGTGGTTTCGAAGAATCTACCTACATATTGTACATATACGCTCTTCATAAAAAACTCTTGAAAAAAGAAAAAAAAAAGAATTGAAAAAACAAGCCTTCAAAAATTCAAGGCTCTCCGGGTAACTTCGGAAACCATCGAATAATCTTAAATATCAGAGTATATTCGGAGCTCGTACACTCTTCGGGGTCATTTTGAAAAAAAAAACAGACGTTGAAAAATTCCGACAGAATTACGGATTTTCCAGCTTACCGATGATTAACCCGAAGATTACTCGATGGTTTCCGAAGTTACCCGGAAAGCCCTGAAGTTTTGAAGGCTTGTAAGAACAGTAAAAAAAAAATTTGTTGAGGCGGATTCTTCAGCGTTTTCTTAATTTCTCATATGTGTTCGACTATGTCTATGGGGTTTCCAATGTTCCTCAGGCCGGATCCTCGGGTAACTTCGGAGTATATGCACAGCTCGTACACCACTCGGAAAATCGTCGGAGTTGTTTTAAATTAAAAACAGGCCCTGAAATATTTAGGGATCTTCGGGTAACTTCGAAAACCCTCAGATAATCTTTGGTTAATCATCGGAGTATATTCGGAGCTCGTACACTCTTCGGAAAATCATCGGAGTCGTTTTGAATAAAAAACAGACGTTGAAAATTTCCGGCGGAATTCCAAATTCCAGACTTTCCAGCTTACCGAACAGCATCTTAAACTAAACGTTTTCCTTGAAATCAGTAATTTCACAAATTCGTCTACTGCACCAGAAGTTCTTTCACCTTAATATTACACATCTCGACGATTTTTTTTTGGTCGAAAAAAAATAACTATTAGACTCTGAAAAGTAATGTAAACCAATGCGCAAAAAAGAAGGGGTTTCAAGGATAAGTTCTCGGGTCTTGAAGAAATTGTCTAACGGCAAGTGAAATACTTATTTGATAATATAATAAAAGTTAAGAAAGGTAAAAAACTGTTGTGATGATTACTGAAAGCGATCGTTCAGAGTGTTAGGCTTCGTAGGAGCAAAGAGCTAAAGGCTGACGCTGGAACAGTCCTTTACGGTGTCTATACTTTTGTAAACGTACTGTTAAGCATAGATCAATTCACCCAAGTCTCACTTTTTTCGATTGCTTTCCGTTTACTGCCAGTCGTAACAACCTCCATCTTGTCCCATATGTCATCATCTTCATCTTCGCTGTCTTCACCTCGTGCTCCTCTTTCAGACGATCTGTTCGAAAGGTCAGCAGTATCACCGCGATTTGCGTGTTTTGTATTCTGCAGCAAAAGACAATTTCACATTAAAGGCAGCCACTGCTTTCTGCCGTGTTTCAAAGCTCAGTCGATCGAACCGTGGTAGGAAAACCCAGACGGGATGGGTATCAATCTCATGGCGTCGAGGTTTTGCGACATCCAGCGGGTTCTATCAAGATCCTCTCTTGGTTCTAATCGGATCTTGGGGATTGGTCACTATTTCCAATCACCTTTCACAAGCTTTAATTAAGTTTTAAAGTCACTCACATTACTAAAAAACTGACAATTCCATTCACATAATTTTTTTTTACTCGAAGAAGTTTTCGAACGTCAGTCGCTAACACCTACAGCACTGTCTCTCGAGACCACCTCTATTCAAACGAACACACTAAACGACAAATGGTATTCCTGAGCCGGTTTCTAACCAATTACTGATCATGACAACGTGACGGATGTACTCGATTATAAAAACGTGGACACCTAAAAAGCATGATCCATGAACAATAACACCCAGTGGCCTTATCGGAATTGTTCTCACAGTTATATAGTCAGCGCTTCACTTTTCTTATCGTTCATAGAAATTTTTTTTTTTTCAGAGCGCATCACAACGACCAATCAGGGACATGTCACAAGGAGCCAATGAGAACTCAAAGCAAAAACAAGTCACTTGCATGAAGCGCGGGAAAATGAGGTTGAACAAGACCCAATTGGGCTCAGTTTTAAATCGGATTGGTTGATAAAGTAGCGCGGCAAGTTTTTTGGACCAATCATAGAGCGCAGAAAAGTAAGGCCAAAGCAATCCCGAATGGCTTTCGACCTTCTCCTGAAAATTGCTTAAATGATAATCTTTTTCTTTCAGGATAGCCTGCAGATCAGATTTTCTGCGTTTTTCAGACGAACAGAGGAAGCTTGAATAGCATCCAGAATTCAAAACGAGCAGCTAATGATGGTTACCAAGTACATCTGACCCATAAAGCCATAGGGTCTCATCACCCATTGCAAAACACTTTTTCAGCTATTATTGCAATCAAAGTTTAGAGCGAAATGTTCTTACTACGAACCTGTTTTTCTATTTTCTTCGCTGAAATAAGTAAGCAGTTAAGGACAGATTTTAAGTATATCTGCAATCAAGAGTAAAAAAGGGTGGCAATTAGCTATTAATCGCATTGTGCTGGTACTGAGTTGTAACATCATTGCTGAACTCCACAAGAGTGATCTGCAGATTGCAGGGTTTTCAATAGAAGCCAGGTACAGGCGGTCTATCGCTACCCATACGACCTCTTACCGTGGTCTGTTGAGCCTGTGAGCAGGCTATCGTGTTTGGGTTTCACCTTACGGCACAACCGCCTATTACTTTATTGACAGCCGCTTGTGAAAAAAGATAATGAAACTCCTGGATTAAACTCTAAACAGTACCACGCCTTTGTAGTTAAGAATTTCCCCATGGATAAGACAAGCCTACCTTATGAAGAAGTTTTCTATCATGAAGATGATGAACACGAAGGAACTTATCCAGTCCACAAGATACCACCATCTGCTGTTTATCAAGACACGAAATACAGCGAATCCCACCTGCAAAACCTTTATAATGACCCTTAAGTTGACCTGGAATGAACAAATCATTTCATATCAGAAAGACGATGCAACAGTTTTCTTGATAACACATTTGAAAATGAATCCTCACGTGCATGTCCTCCTCTACGTCCTTAACTCCCAAAACCAGCAGTAAAGCACACTTTCAAAGCGAACAGGTTGTATTACTAACAACTAGTTAATACTCTTCGTGTTTCTCTCGTATGTTTAAGAAAGCAAATAATCAACATTTTGAAGAAATAGAGCAGTTTTAAAATGAGTGTTAAAAAATAAAAGTGCACACAACTTTCACCTGGCAGTGGGTACAACATTGAAACCTAATTGTACTCACCCTTTCTCAGGTCAATAATTCCCATAGTTCCTACTGTATTACCCACAATGACAACACTGATGGGTAAAGAACAAATGAGTGCATGATAAATAAAGGCTCAAGAGGGTGTAAAATTTGATTAATGGTTTGATTCTCTTCCCTATAGCCAGTGGTAAGTTATCTAGTACATTGTATTATTGGAGGCACCATTTGTAAATCACCACAAATTATTTTGCATAGAAGAAAGACTTAGAATAATTCTTACTTTTCATAATCTGTCACAGCTAATGCTGAGATTGGAGACTCTCCAAAGTCAAAGTTAAGAACTGGACGACGTTGTGCCTTGGTGTCATAGAGTCGCACCTTATGATATCCTGTACCAACAACAATCCTGGACTGTGATCCTTGACTGGGAAGAAAGCCAAGGTCACACACCCAGATGGGAACTTGTAGGTCCAGGAAGTCATTTGGCACCTAGAGGGAAAATTGAAAAATTCCCAATCTGTAACTTGTACAAAAGCAATTTCTATTTGGTAGATCACAGATCACAGGAATGGACTATAATTTATTGAGGTTTTTGATGCTTGATTTCTTGGAAAGTTCCTTAGCATATTATTCAGTAAAACAGTACTTTTAACCCTTTCAACTCCTGGCATCTACCGGTAATTTCTCCTTACGATATCACCCCTGATTAACACATTAAGGTCAAAAGAATAAAGGAAATGATTGCCAACTAAAGAAGCTCTTGATTGCTAAACAAATTCTCCTTGTCAGCACCATAGAAAAATAAAATGTATAGAGAATAGTATGGAGAATATACATACTGATGTTAGGGTGTACATGTGTATAGGATCAAATTGGTGGCCAGAAGCAATCTGAGATTGCATTGCCTTTGCTGCACCACACTCAAAATAAAACTTCAATCAGAATAAAAATTTTAGGCCAGCTTCTGGACTAACATTTAGTACCAATAATTCTATGACACAGTGACAAAAACATAAACATGCAAAGTAAAAGGTGTAAAATACATTCTTAGCTCTGAAAGTTGGCTCCTCAGGCCTGTTCAGGTCCCAGAGTTTCAAGTCATTTTTCTGTCCACCTGTCCCTACTTGAGATGGACACACTGGGTTCTGCCGCACAGCAGACACATGGCTGCCAACTTTAACATCTGTCTGGTATAACAGTCGAAAAGTTTTTTTTAATCCTTGTGATATACATTGGTTATAGAAGACTTGGGGCTGGCACATATACACAATTTTTATTACATCATACATTTGCATGTTTATCAAACTCTTAACAGGCTGATAAAGTGTCATTATAATGTATCATGCAGTAAAATTACATCAAAAACAGGTAGCTTCCCTTTCAGTCTCTCTCGTAAGTGCTTAGTGGTACAGTGTAGACCCTGTACATGTGAAAAGTTTAATATTTGTATCTGAGCTTCTTTTTATCTAATTTTGTACCCTTCAATTATCTAGATAAATTGCTGTCTTTCTACAGATCAGAATAAAAGCAGAATATTGGACTACAAAATTTGGAACAACTTAAACTATGAATACGTCAATTGGAAAATTGAACACTTACAGAATTTTCATGATCTTTCCATATCTGCAACAACCCGGAATCCATGCAAGTAACAATAGCACTGTAATCATAATTATAATATGTACAAAATTATCATGAGAGGTACTCTGCTACAGCTCCTATGAAATGGCCATAATGAATTGACCACTCTTTACTTATAGACATTGTAGACTAAACTAATTTCAAATGTAAAGTACACTGATTTGTATCTTTCTTTAAGTAAAGCCTACTTACGAGCCATCGGGCTGTCACTTAACTCCAGTTTCCGTAGCATGAAGCAGCTAGGAGTAATTCTACCCCCCCCGATGGGATGCTAGTCCATCGCAGGGTTACCCCCAGCATTAAATTCGCCGGTACCCATTTAATTCTCCTGGGTGAAGAGAGGCACTGTGAGAGTAAAGTGTCTTGCCACAGGACACAACACAATGTCCCCTGCCAGGGCTCAAACCCAGACGACTTGATCCCGAGTCGAGCACACCAACCATGAGGCCACCACGCCTCATTGGTCAAGAATTATAATACTTTGTTTGTATCAAAGGAAGTTACATATTATTCTAAATCAAAATAATTTTGGATTACATGTATTTTGTATTACAATTTTGTATTACATTTTTTGTGACACTGACAAAAATAAACCAATTTTTTTTACTTCTGTTTGGTATAAATTAAAACAACTATTCACCTCAGCATCGGCAAAAGTAGTCAATGTCCACTTCCACTATTCCACAACTATTTACCTCCACTTCAATGAATAATTGTTAATCATTTCCAAGTGGGCAGCGTGGCTGAGTGGTCAGCGTGTTGGACTTGCAATCCACCGCTCCTAGGTGCAAGTCCTGCCCTGACCACTACAGTACCTGGATTTGTTTCATGGTAGCACCAAAGTCAAATCCTCCGCCACGCTTTTAAATAGCCAACTGGTGTGCCTCCTACCAGTTGGGATTCTTAACAATGTCATGTTCAATTTGAATTATTTGTTTCAGTTGTTTGCTGGGCCCCACTAGTACTTCAGGATAAAAACAAGTTATTTTTTTTTTTTTTTTAGTAGAATTTCAGACAACATCACTGAGAAATCTCTGGTCCCCATTTATAGACTGGGTAGAAAAAGGCATTGTAATCAGTCTCAAAAGTGTCTTGGACTGATGCTTCCCAGGACTGGAACATTGACTTCTTTATACTTGAGTCCTGTCCCCATGCATCAACCAGCATGCAACATAACCCCAATGCATGTAACCCCCAAATCTATAAATACACAATGTACCTATTCCACTTGAACAGTCCTTTCAACTTTCCATTTCCTACAGAATGACTCTGTTCGCCAACAAATTCCTTCTTCGTAACATCAAAGGTCTTGACAATACCATTTGTTAATCCTAATAAGATCTGACAATAAGGTAATATAGATGTCATTTCATATTACATTATGCAATCTCAAGTTCTTAAATTTGCACCAATTAGCTACAATAAACAATGCAGTCATCCTCCAGGGTGCAACAATATATAATATCAGTTGCTAAGTAATACCTGATTTTCACTGTCATTGTTCCAGGACATGGCACATATTTCATGGCTTCTAGTGGCAGTTTCCCCAACATTATGATTTGTGAATGATGATTTCTTGAGATCAACTCCTGAAAGGTTTTTCTCAACAATCAAAATGGACCCATACACCTTCTGGCGTTTGCAAAGATCAAATACAGCAAAAATTCAGTCATGTCGTTTACATATATTCATCACTGCCAAAATTGCTTAATTCTAACATAAAATAATTTATTCCTTTTGTTAGCTTACAGAGCTGGTAATATCGTTGCAGCATTGAGTCATTATTATACGAGTCATTTACCTCTTGAAAATGAAAATTTCTTTTCAACCATCAAAATAACTCTAACTGCAATCCATAGACATTCAATTTGTTTCTTGGAAATTTAAACAGGCCATAACCTCTTTAGATCTGACTGAGAGCTAAGGTAAACCAGAGCCACTAAGTGCTATTCCATTTAAACAGCGTCACTCTCGCACCAGCTGAGGATGGACAACACATTTTCTCTGCTAGTTGGTCCTTAGATCTATGAAACATCCATCCTTACTTCTCTTTACCTAGCTGTTTCACAATGGATGTAGATTGTTGGGAGAATTTCATTACCAATCACACATGCAGTGGGAGCACAGGCCGCCCAGGCTCTCTCACAGGCTCTTTCACAGGCTCTTTCAAAGTGGATTATTATAGAGTTTGTATAGTGGTTTAGTTGGACTTGCTTTTGAGCTCCGTAAATATAAAGTTGTGTGAAATAATCAAAGAAATAAAGTCTTCCCTTCATAAAGAGTAGTCTGTGCTGTTCTTGTCGCGATTTGAGGCCATTTTGCTGTGTTTCATCTTAACGTCCCAGCATTACCAAAGAAAAGGGAAGGTAGGAAAGCTCTGTCTCACACACGCTCGCCAAAATTGCTCTAAAAACAGACTTAAATACTTCCCCTTGAATCGAAAGTTGGTAGCACGAAAGCCAAATAGTTACCCTTCAAGTTCACCAAAACAAGCCCAGCGAAAATCTCAAATTGACCGCCATTTCAACACCATTAGAATGCGCATCCATCAATTCCTGTGCAGTCAAATGCTCATTATGACGCGGTCAGCCTGGACACTAGCAAAACTGACTAATCATTTATATCGTGACCCGATGGGCCTAATTTTGCTAGTGTCCAGGCCAACCACGTCGTAACGAACTTTTGACTGCACAGGATTTGACGGACGCGCATTCTAGTGGCATTGAAATGGCGGTCAATTTGAGATTTTCTCTGGGCTGGTTGCTTGACAACCCAACTTTTGTGGAATTTGTTTTGGTGAACTTGAAGGGCAACTATTTGGCTTTCGTGCAACCAAGTTTTGATTCAAGGGGAAGTATTTAAGCGTGTTTTTCGCGCGATTTTGGCGAGCATGTGTGAGACAGAGCTTTCCTACCTTCCCTTTTATTTGGTAGTGCCGGGACTTTAAGCTGAAACACAGCAAAACGGCCTCAAGTCACGACAAGAACAGCACAGACTACTCTATATGAAGGTAAGACTTTATTTCTTTGATTATTTCACACAACTTTATATTTACGGAGCTCAAAAGCAAGTCCAACTAAACTACTATACAAACTCTACAATAATCTACTGTGAAAGAGCCTGTGACAGAGCCTGTGACAGAGCCTGTGACAGAGCCTGTGACAGAGCCTGTGACAGAGCCTGTGACAGAGCCTGTGACAGAGCCTGTGACAGAGCCTGTGACAGAGCCTGGACAGAGCCTGGGCCGCCTGCGGTGGGAGTAAAAATTTTAAGAGTGATGTGTTCGAATGGTCGCACGTGCTAGGACCAAGCGAACCACTCTTCAATATATACAAGACAAAAAAACCTGGCCGGTTACTGCTGCTTTCATTTTAATCGCTTTAAAAAAATAAGCATTGTAAAGAGTGCTCTGATTACAGTTTTAATGACCTCACCTTTCAAAACTCCAATCTCACCTCCAACCCAGACGTCCGCCATGTTTAACACTCACGGTTTTGAGATCTGAGAACTAGAAAGCCCAAGAGACCCCTGGGTAGTGCTAGGTCTTCTCGTGTGTATTTGAGCGATTGTGAATGCCTGTCAGAAAACGTTTGCTCCTGATCAGTGAGATTAGGAAGGACTTCGGTTAGCGTTTTTTGCTTTGGATTGTTCTCGATGTCGCGAAGAATATGGTGGTGACTGTTTCGAAAGTGATCATATGTGTGGTTTTCTTTGCACTACTAGGATGTGTTGTCAATGGAAGAGAGAGTAAGCCTTCGAAGAAGACTTGGCTGAAATCTGGATCAAAAACCCGGTATCAAAAGAAAGAGTTTCCGTTTGAAGCGCCTGAAGGTTGCGATCCTCTTCACATCAGCATGGTCATAAGACATGGAACACGCTATCCCAGCAAAAAAGACGTGAAAAAAATCGAAAGAATGCTTGATGTGATCAACAAGGAAATCGATCCAAAGTGGTCTAATGGAGATCTATATCTTCCCTGGAAAAATCCTTTTTCTCTCGATCATGACAAGCTTTTGGCATCCGCTGGGGAAGAAGAATTGTATTATCTCGCCAAAGAATTTCTGAAACGTTTTCCAAGTTTACTATCACACCCATATCATCCGCAGAACTTCGATTTTATCAGTACGGGAACTTCTAGGACAGTACAGAGTGCTATGGCCTTTGCGTTTGGTTTGTTCGAGGGGCGAGGGAGGCTGGGTCCAAGTGGTTTTCAGCCTGTGGCAATCGCGTCGAGAGAAACTAACAATGATCCTATACTTCGCTTTTTTGATATCTGCCCAAAGTACAATGTAGAAGTTGCAGATAATGACACTGCACTTCATGAGTATAAAAAGTTTAAACGTGGTAAAGAAGTAGAACGTATTGGTCATAAATTATCACGGCTCATGACAACTGCTCCTGATTATTCCCAGACAACTTTCACAGCAGAAACCATCATTGGAATGTACACTGCTTGCATTTTTGAAGTTGCAATCTTTAACAGGGAAAGTACTTGGTGCCTCCTTTTTGATGAGGAAGATTTCTTGACTCTAGAGTACATATCAGACTTAAAACATTATTGGAAGAGAGGCTATGGATACCCAATAACCTATCAAATTGGTTGCCCTTTGTTGGAAAACATTGTAAGCAACCTTAAAAATGCAACAGATCCATATTCAGGTGAGAGAAAGTATGGCAATTTTATGTTTGCCCACAGTGAGACTCTGCAACCACTTTATGCATTGCTTGGATTATTTAAGGATCAGGAGGAGCTGAGGGCTGGCAACATGAATGCACACTCTAGGCGCAAATACAGAACTAGTGAAATTGTGCCATTTGGGGCAAACATTGCATTCATTGCATATAGTTGCAATGCAGATGACACCAGGGGTAAGGAATCAGATAGTTACAAAATGGAGCAATTCAAAATCCAAGTATTTGTTAATGAAGAGTTGGTAGCTTTGCCTTGTTGTGGTGAACAGAGAGAGTGCCCCCTAAAAACATTTTTGCAGTGTTTTGACACTAGACCAAATGGGTCATGCAACCTGTCATCTTTATGCCGCCTGGAAAGCAATACTGCTGAAAACCTTCATAGGGAACTGTGAACAAGGTTATTAGCATTTATAAAACTGCATAAACTGTGCAGATTCACAGTAACATCATTTTTACTGGAAGTGTCTGTTTACAATCTGAATCATTGTGAACAAAATAATGATGGAAGAAATTGGTTCCAGAGAAATTGTCACAGAAAATTACCTTGAAAATATTTTCACCCTCACCACCTGTAATGATCTGGACTGTCATTCATACAATACAGCTTCACAAGAATAATACCAATTTGAGGATGCAATGACACTATGGGTGTGATGTTCATATTCAGGCCCAGGTATTGTTTTCTAATGGCTTTACTTACTGAACTTGAGGAACAAAGTCATGAGTTTAACTTCTTGGCTGGTCACTGATAGTTGTTTTTGAGCTACGAACTTCACTTACACGGCATACTGTATTTCGTTGTTTTACAAAAATACTAGTTTTGAAAATATTGTATTTCTACTGCCTTGCACTCTTACAGGGAAATTCAACTTGCAACTGTGAATTGTCAAGTACTGAATAAACTGTTCACTTCATTAATTTACTTCAGGTTAATTATGTTTTCAAACAACAACAATCCATTTGAAGTATTTTTTTTAATTTTCAAATTTATTACTGCAATATATTAAATTTTCAAAATAGCAATTAGGATTTTTCCCTTGAACATACAAGAGTTAAAATTAATTTCTATCAACCTTCAAGTGACTGACATGAAAATTCTCTTTCTTCAATTATCATACACTGTCCTGTGAACAGTTGGTGAGAAAAGACCTTAACTTGCCAGCTTGAACATATTATCCTAATATAACAACAAATTATCTTAGTTTATTGATTTAGGAGAAAATTGATTGCAGCTAGAAATGAAAATTACAAGACTTATTAGATCTCAAAATAAAAAGGGTTCATGTCAGCTGTCTGTAACTCCCAAATCTTCCTTAAGCTGCTCTATCATTTCCTGCAGACGACTCTGAAAAAAAAATTAATAATTTGAAAAACGCTCTTGGAATCACAACAATTTCATGGATCAAGATGTGCAGTATTCCATTAGTTTTACTGTATTACAACCTTTGATCACTCAAGAAATTTCAGCCAAACATCCTCTCAATGAAATCCAGCCACAAAGTTAAAACTCCATAGATTTAATTGTTATCAATAATAAAGCATAATTGGTTATTTTTTTTCTCACCTCCCTCTGTTATCCTTTGGTTTTGAGCAAAATGCTCTTTTAACTGACAGTATAACTAGATTACACAAACTGACCCATACTGTTCAAATGTAGAATATACAGTACATGCATGCTTGTAATGAATAGTTGTGTAAAATTAAAATATTGGTGTATAATCTTACTTCATCCAATTTATCCTTCCTTCTCTCAATATGCATTTCAAAAACTTGCTTAAGAACCCTAAGTATAAAACAGTAATTACAACAAATTAATATGAAACAAAGATACAGTCAAACTCCTCTGACTAATACAAACTTTAAAACAGGACTTGAAAGACAACTAAACAGTACCTATTACTGAAAATGCCTCTTGCCAGGATGTCAGTGGTAACATCAGAGATGAATTTAAGATACTTTTGTTCCTCTTCCCTGGTTAATAGGATAAACATGTGCATGTATAAGAAAAGACAATTTACCTAACTTAATTGTGGTTAACTTTGTGGTTCCAATAAATGGTACCATGTACCTGTCACTTCTTAAAATTAGTTATTTATATTCAGTGACTTAATTTGCACTTTAGAGTTAAAATGAAAAACAAAAAGGCCTCTCAGAAAGGAACATTTTTTAAAATATTCTCTACCACTGAAGACAAAAGTTCATCAATTTTATGTCATAAAACATTTCCTGACCTCAAAAGCACATCTAGTTGAGTTAATGGTATTAGCATTTCAGTGCATGTACATAGAAATATTTACATAAGCTGTACAACAAAAAAATTGCAATTTCTTTTATCACTAGTGTAGGACAGAAAAAAAATGACAGCCCTTCAGTAAGGACTAGAACATCACACCTACTGATTGACAGTCCTTTTACATGTCAATTCTTTAACACTGAGCTTATAATACTAAAAAAACTCAATGGTGGGCCCAGCCAGTTATAGTTTTACACATTCGTGACTGAGGATTGCTCTGGGTAGTCTGAGCAACCTCAAATGGCACCTTTTAGAGTAAAATTATTATATCCCTGGCTGTGTTTGCTTGGTTCTAAGACAAATCTCTTGTCAGTTTGATTCCCTGGATTATTAACACTGATACAGAAATTCAGAGTGAGGGTCCAGTATTGCACGCTGATAAGAAAGCACCTGTGGGTAATTTTTAACCACTTTGTAATAACCCTGAGAGGGCCGGATTGTGTTGTGCCGGAGGTAGAGGGTTCGAGCCCTGGCGGGAGCAATACTCATAGTCTTAAAATAACTGAGGAGAATACCTTTCAAAAAATGGATAGATATTCTAGTCTTCTCATATTAGGACCAATAAACCGTAGGCCCCATCTCCTGCAGGGTTAGGGGTAGGAGACATTAATTTCCTACGCACGAGATTACTGTGTGGTGGATGTCCTCCCCTGGGGTGGGATGGGTGGGTGTTCACAGGGCCCCATTTAAACTAGCTATCTGCTAAACTGGGCTACCCTGTATAAATATTCATAAATACATACAATTACATACACCATTACTCACCACATGTTTGCCTTGAAACCAGGGGACCCTGTAACTGTTCTGCTTGATGGAGGACCTCTGTAACTATATTGCACATTTGTGAGGTCAAGGGATGGGACATCCTCGTACCTGGTTGATCTGTTAGTGTGTTTAAAGTCATGAGGCAACATTCCATTTTTATCAAGGGCTCTTGCAGAGCTTTCCTCGCCAAATCTATTCACAACTGTTCCCAGATTCTTGAGATCAAATGACTGATTCTCAGTACCACTTAGCAATGTGCCAAAATTCCCATCCAAATTATTTAAGGAGCTTTGATCAGATTTGCCAACATGTTGAATATTAGTTCTCTGATTCTCTGTATGATTTGTAAATACACAGTTTTTCTGTGCAGTATTTTGTCTTCTGTGTCTTCGTATGGGTGACACTGGTGGTTTGGATTGCATTTTATCAAACACGGGTGTAGATATTTGACATTCCAATGCTTCATCTCTTGGAGAAGACGAACACACTGCAGGAGTATAATCTTGACCGAGGGACTGCATAGACAGACTTCTCTGGAGTGGAGTCCCTGTGCTTTGCCTATGGCCTGGAGACTGCCAGTTTCTTGTTGAATTTAAGGGAGGTGATTCATTGTGTGATGAAGACAAGAATTCCACAGAAGGGGTCTAGAATAAATAAATATATAAAAAATGTGAATTTATAGTACTGGACATTTGCAGAATAGTTGTTTTGTCTCAGCTATGTCAGCACTCCTCCTGTAGTTTTATTGAGAAACCATGCATGTGCGTGGTTGCAGTTGAGATTAAAGAGAAGCAAGTGGTTGGTTTGGAATCTCAGTGTGTTAAATGGTATGAGAACATTACAACATTACACCAGATGACCCTTCTTGTCCACTGTTTCAAAATTCAATTTGATAAAGGAATGTTGGTTTTTGAGGGCAAAAAAACCAAAGGAACCAAAGGCAAGTGTACATAGGTCAACACCTCACCTTTGCTCTAAGAGATGATGGAGTTCCAGATCTACTTTCCAAGGTAGCCCGCTTCTTTTGGTCATGAGCTTAAAATCACAATAGGTTACAAAATAAAAAGCTATTGCTGGTACACACTGCACTATAACATACAGAATGTGACAAGGTTACTGTTTCATTAAAAATGAATGAGAATCACATGATTTGGAGCATTGATTGACATTTAAGCTTTGTACTTTACATCACATTTCAGTCAGTAAATCAATTTCAAAAGGGAAGGTCTAGTGTAAGTTGCTGACCCGAATTGAAACAAGCCTTTAAGCTAACCTGTAGCCAACAGCCTGCCACAAAAGTGAGCAAAACATGATTGTCAAACTATAGTTTTAACCTATTTTGGAGTCGAATTATTGTATGAGAATTTAGTTATACATTAGATACAAACGGTTTGTATTGTCCTTTTGCCAGATCAAATAATTGCAATATCTTCTCTATAAATAACAATCATATTATACAATTTGTGGTGGATCAGTTCGTTGGCATTACTTTCTACACAGAACAGTTACCCCATTGTATCAACTTGTATCAACCAGACACTGCACTATTTGCTTGTAACATTTATATATATATCAATTTTTAAGTTCAAAACAATTACAATCCGCTTATCAATTTAACACTTAACCTACCTTTTATATGTGCTTTCATAGATTTCGGAGGAGATGTATCAACAGCCGCTTAATTAACAAAAGAAGAAAGCCAAACATACATGTTTAACAAAATGTCCAAGAAGGTAACTTTATGATCAATCTACTAATGATTATAAAACAAAAAACATTAAACTGCACTTGGAGTCATCCTTCCTCAATTCCACCCAAAGTTATCTCTCTAAATGAAAGCAACTAAATATTTTATGCCAGCTCAGCCATTAGCATCCAAACTTTGTAAGACAAACAAATTTATAAATCTTAATTTAAAGTAAACTGATACATCTCATTACAAATTTCAAAAGAATTCAGATATTGTTACAGGTTCAAAACAGGAAAATGAAGATCACCTTTAGCTGACAGGATTCGCCTGTAATGAGATTTCATGTGATTTGCAATGAAATCCTGCCCCATGTAGGACATGGCCTTAGGTGCAGGGGCTACAAAAGTAAAACCAAACAGAGTTAAATATAACTGTCATCTTTCTTTAATTTCACAAAACTCTTATAGTGACCCTTCCACCAGTGTCATAATTATCATGACCCTTTCAAAGGCAGGAGTGACCAAAACTGAGTTCTCCTAAACAGTTAAAATTGTTCATTTTCAGGCAGTGCAGATTAAGTAAAGGAGAGGGTACATAAAAAATATAAGACAAATAAGAGGATAAGCTATGGTTTACGACCAAATTCTCTGATTGTAAAGCACAATGAACCATCAAAAAAAAATAATATTATTATTTAAATCTTGGGAGTAAAAGAGTGAAGGACACTGTAAAAATGGGATTGACCCAAAGCTAAGTCAGTTTGATTCAAGATCGTCCCATACTGGACTGCACGTGGAAGTTTCTAAGTAATTATCTCATGAATATCTGTCAATAGATTCAGTTATAGTTGCTATGCATGCATACTGTTATTGGTCAGATTAGCCCGCCATACTCAGCTGTATGACTCGCAAGAATTTACAGCAGTCTTGCCTTTGTTACCACTACGCCATGGAATCACCATCAGTTTCAAAACACAAGCACAATTCTAATGCATCAAGCTATTTTTAAGCTACTGTGGCATCTATAATCTGTACAAATCACTATTTCGGGGGGGCTCAAGCAAGAAAGATGTCATCCTTACATTTAACTAGCTATTTGCAACAGCAAATGGGTGCAAAATTTGAAGGTTTTGTGTTCTTTTGATTAAATCAATGCAAACTGCTTTTACAAGTTTGTTTACGAATGATTCTGCTCTAAAGACCCTGCAACATAGTTAATTCATAGCTTGAGACAGAAGATACTGTACACTCGATTTCAAAGACACAACTTTCTTTGAATCAAACATTTATCGATTCTGTGATCACAGAAAATGTTAAGTCTGCTAACTTACCACTACTCTTTAAGGTATAGCGACCATATGTTGGACGAGTTTTCGAGCTCATCTCTGTTTCATAGATAGCGATCTGTGAAGTAGCCCATGACAAGTCTAGAGCACGTATTTATTTGAAAACAATTTGGCAAAAACTGGCGATTCAAGATCCACAAGATGTCATAACAAAATTCATTACGAGGAAACAATTTGGTGCTAATCGGTTCCCTATGATCGCGGGCGCTAGTACGCAGATCATTTCCATGGCAACAAGAGCTGAAATGGCCCTTGCAGTCTCAGCGCTGTTTTCCTTGCCGCTTTTCCTTTAAAAAACAGTCTCCAAAAACTTTGTACACTCCCTAAATATTAATATTTCTCCTTAACAAATATTAAGGAGAAAATTAATTTTCTCCTTAAAACTTTGAAAATAGGAAGATGCCTTCGACGACAACAAAATGCTTCGGTTTTTAATGTCAGCCCTTATTATTTTCCGCGAATTTCGCTAAATTTTAAACCTAGCCGCTTGAGCCCGCGTTGTTGATTGCATTCTCTTTTAAGCAGCATTTCGTTATTCAACTGTGTTCTTTACAGTTGAAGTTCCAGGTCCGTATGATAGTCCTAGTCCATTGCACGAGTCACCGCGACAGCGTAACCAAAACTTAAACTCGGCATTCTTCAGTGCTGAAGGTTTTCTTCCTGTAAGAGAATTTCCAGGAATATCTTCTTTGGTTTGTAAATGGGGACCATACAAGGCATTTTCCATACTTTCCCTTACTTATTTTTACTTTTTACTTTTTACTCTGTAAAAACCCCAGTTTTTACCGGGTGGCGGACATTTTGGGATAATCTGTGTGTGTTAAGAGTGACAAAACCATCATTGCTCTTCGTTATTGCACAACCAAAAAAGTTTTGTGTGGTACATTAATTTTTAAGGGTAAACCTGCTGGTTTCATTAAATCAGCTTCGAGCGACACCCCCGGCCAATCTATGTTACATTATCCTAACTCCTGGTGTCGTACCCAGACCTTCCAAAACCAAGTTACAGTAACATGATAGGATCTGGGTGCGAGAATACCTAAATCTCGAGTGTACTCCATTAGACATGCTATCCAACCTAATGGTCTGCCATCAGTGAGAAGTCATCGTCATCCTGTGAAAAGTTATTCACTCGTTTCGAACGGCTTTTAGTTCCATGTGAGTCAAAAGCTGATTAGATACTTAAATCCTGAAAAGCACTTTCTAAAATAATTGAGATAGCCGTCGCGCCCTCTAATCGGTCAACTGGTCAGTTAAGATGAGAGCATAGAAACACAATTGTTTCATTCTTTTGTGTTTGACGGCGCTATTTGAAAACATTTCATATTCCAAGCTTTTTAAATACTCGAAAAAAATTCAATGCGATATACACAGACAACTGTAAAAAATTCAGTTTAAGCAAAAAGACAAATGAATCACTGTAACAATGTTAATGTAATGTAAGATTTTAAGAGGCACTGACCATCAATATCGAGAATCCACTGACAGTTGAAAATTTCGTAATTCATTTTAATTTTCCTAAAGGACTTTTTCGATGAACCTTGTTCAAAAATTATATCAAAAAGTTCTCTCGCGCTTTGTTTTCTCCGAAAAATCGAAAAAGTTCAAAATACGCCCAGATGGCCGGTGTCCCTGGAGTAAAACGATGAAAAATTGTGCAACTTCGGCAACTTCATACGCCACAACGCAGGGCAATCACGCTTTCAAATTTTGTGTGCTAGCAGATGGTTCTTTTATCTCTTTTAAAATATAAATTCCATGTTATGTTGTTACGTCTAAGTCTGAACAGTAATATAATTGATATAGTTTTTGAAAAAGATTCATCAAGAGGGTCTTTCAGGAAAAATAAAATGAATTAGTAAATTTTGCAACTGTCGGCGGATTCTTGATATGTATGGTCGGTGGCTCTAAAGGGTTTCTACTTTTGTTTCAAAGCAGTCAAATAAATTGGGAAGGATCGAAAATGAAAACCGAAAAAAGTGGAAATAAATGAGCCACCTAGTTAATGAAGCAGATATCAAAACTAACAAAAGAAGTTAACTTCGAGGAGCTTTTTGATGCCATGATCAGGGCGATGGGTAATCTCGAGAACTCTTATCTTGACTCTTATTCTTTTCATCAAAAAATATAAAATATATATTTTCCTTCCATGATTTTGAGTTAATTAACCAATTTGAATAAAAAAGGGCAAATTACACACGACAAAAGTTTTTTTTGAAACGCGCATTCTGAAAACGAAATTTATACATCACGAAATCTTTATCAGTGGTTACCAGATGTTTTCTAAGTCAGAGTATTGAGTCTCGGCGGGTAAAAACTAATAAGAACATTGATTATCAAAAAGTAAAAATGAAAGTGTGGCTTTTGATTCTTGGTTGGCTTCTCTCCATCCTGACCACAACTGGAAATGGATTTATCATCTTCCTTGTTTGTGGCAAAAGGCAGCTTCGCACCAAAACCAACGCGTTTATGGTTTCGCTTGCCGTGGCTGATTTCTGTGTTGGGATGATCGCCGTTCCTTCGCTATTTTCGTGTGAGTTTCTGGATGTCAGCAACGATCCATCTTTTAGGATGATGCTATGGATTATAAGAAACCTGTTTGCTTTTGCGTCTGTGGCAAACCTTTGCTGTTTGGTGCTGGATCGCTACATTGCTGTTGTGAAACCTTTAAAATACTTGACTTTAATGAAGCGTCACCGAGTCACTGAGATGGTCATCTTATCCTGGGTAATTCCAATTGTTCTCATGACTTTTGCACATTTTGTAGCAAATACTTCCTTTTTTCAAAAATCAATCATCCTCATAAACATTTTATCTGTATTGTTCATCAGTTTCGAGACATTTTCAAGTTTAATATTAGTATATGTCTTTAAAAGTTGTATTTAAACATAATCGAGCCGCTCCTTCGTTAGCAAAACAGTTACGCTTCAATCATCAGGTATTTTTTAAACCTCGGGAGAGGTCTGCCGTGATATTGATGGGGATTGTAATCGGATTGTTCCTGATGTGTTATGGTAGTTTTCTACGATGCAGCTCAATCAGAATTTCCGGTATTGTTGAATCATGTAACGATAGAGAATATAAAATCATCCTTTTAACGTTAAACTCCGCCATCCATCCCTTGGTGTATTCTTTTTTTAAGAGAGACATAAAAAAGGAGATTAAAAGACGGTTTTGTCGCCCCATGTTATCAAAGTCAAACAGAATTCATCCTAAATGTGAACAGTATTGCGTTATCCACACTATCCGCACTGGGAAGCTAGTGTGATTGGGTAAGATTTTGCGACTTTCTTGGTATAAATGTAAATGGCAGCAGGTGAACTGTAAGGAAATATGAATTTATCATTGGGCTTGTAGTCTACCTTGGATAGACAACGTACATGATCAGAATGGAGAATAAACTAAAGAATATGACAATGTATAAAAGAGCTAAAGGTTTACTAAGAAATTAACTCATAGCTTGTATTTGTAAATAGAGAATAATACACGGGCACACGTAGATATGGAAGTTCTCTTCGAGTGTTTCGGCATTGCTTCTTCGTCTGCATATCAATAGAGTGCTTAATAAGCACTAAGGGATATCAGCGAATGGTCTCACGGTCATAATTTTTCAAAAAAGCGTATGAGATGACCAATAAACACAGGGTGCTCTTCTGACGAATTAATGGCGGCAAGTGTTTATAATCTCTGGATAGCGGCTAATGCTAGTTTCTTATACAGTCCTCCCATATCTAAACCAAAAAGAAATGACATTAGGATGTCTGGAAATGACATTAGGCTCGAATGAAGAAAGATTGAAGTTGCCGTCCAAAACTAACGATAACCTTAGTTGTTTGTAGTATGATACCAGCGAAGTAAGATGAATCAAAATAAATGATAGACCATGGAATCTCCTTTTTCTTGTTTATCATTTTAATTGGTTTTACAAAAGGAATAAATTATGATAATTCACACTTTCTTTTTTCACTCATTAACGAAAACATACATTTTTATATTCTGCGTTACTTGTACATATAACTAATTTTTTTATTGTTTTGTATGCACACTCTTGCTGAACTTGTGAGATTTTCGAGACCACGCCTTAAAATTTCGTATGTCTGTTGTTTCAGCTAATTTCTTGGAGCATTTCCAAGTCCATGGAATGTGCTTTTTGAGCCAAACGTGTACTTCGAACAAACTGAAAAAAAAAAAGAAATGAATTGCACTTTTTAGCAGTTTCACCTGAGCAAAGAAGGAAAATACTGTTTATTTGTATCTATTTGCACCGCCCCCTAAACATTTCTTGATTAATATCTGTCAAATTAATAGGCATACTAACCCAAATTTTAGTCCAGGTGCCTCAAAATGGTTTCATTATTGTCAAACACCAATTTTGTTTGACGAACTGATACCATCCCACTTTGGTATCGTTGGTATTAGAAAATTTACAGTTAATTTCCAACATGTGATATCTTTTAACTTGAAGGTCATCATAGTGTAACTGCAGCCCATAATTATCATTAAACACGGAGCCTTAAGCTCAAATGTTCAAAGTTGGAGTCTGTCACTCAAAACGAACGACAATGGTCACTCCCATTTTATGTCTTTGAATTCCAATCTGCATCTCAAGAATTCGAGCATTTTTTTCCGAAATCTTTGTCACCTTAGTTGTTTTATGACAGGAGTTATCAAGCTTGATTTTGAGTTGAGAATCAGGAAGCTGAAGTTGGGGACTTTTCCACGGAGTTTTTCTGCTACTATAGAGGTCTCGAATGAAGAAGTAAATAAATAAATAAATAGAAACAATGGTTAAAAACATTTGAATATTTCTTGAAACACTTTTTATGGAAACAATATCTTAGCATCGATCTGCCAAAAATCAACAATTCTAAGGCACAACGTGGAGTTATTCTAAAAACCAAAGAAAACAAATCCAACAGTAACTTTCTTACACGAAATTCTTTTAATCATTGGATCACTTTCCAGCCAAAATTTGAAGCCTTCCTTGGCCCGTTGATTGTAAACCGATGGACGCCTTTGAACTTGGGGGCGTGGAAGGTCGTTCGTCTGTTGGAGAACTTGCCTTGAAGATTCCGCCTTCTCTAGCGGTTTGCCTTGATAATACATGGTATATGTTTCTGAGACAAAACTTTAGTTAGCCACACTGACGTAATGATCACGTTTTTGAAATCATATCAGATTGATTTGATCGCAGGAAGCCCAAGCGCACTGAATATGGTTTTGAGGTCGAAAGGTCATTAACGGGAATGCCTAATATTGAATGGGGCACATCATGCGATACAAAGAAAGTCGCCAAAATAGCGTTAAAACGACAGCAAAAGGTGTGGCGGCTTCGGAGTAAAGGTAAGGAGACTTAACACGTTATATTTCTCGCTTTCATTATCCTTTTTTAATCGTTTTTTTTTTCTTTTTTTTTTATATTGTTTCTTTTTTTTACGCTTACGTTTAAAATTCAATCTTTAAAATATTTTAGGTATGACCTTTATTCCCTAAAATCACACACAGCACGCTTGCGCCGCCTGTGATTGGATGAATTTGTAATCAATTTGCCTCTCTGAGTAAACTTGTCAAGGCTTTCAGACCCGAAATCAACTCGAACTGACTTCAACAGTATTGGTCAGACGTTAAGTTTTCCACAAGGTATTTGAAACAGCTCCAAGCTACGTCGCGTTACCATTTTTCTTCCTTTTTCTTTAACTTGTTATAGTTTGTTTTCTTTACGGAAGCTAGTGCCGCAGGGTGATTAACTAAGCCCTGTCTTCAAGCAATGAGTATTGAGTATAAACCTCTGAGGCATTTTTAACTCAGCTTGACATCACAAAGTAACATCACATTATCATAAGAACTGTACTGACAGACAACAAGAAGGATTAATGAGCAGATATTGGGAGCGAATGGGTTAATGCTGAGGAGAATTTTCGCCCTTAGCTCATCAAAGCGCCATTTAGTAGAGGCCGCTATCTCTGCAAGTTCTGTCTACTTACTCTTCGACAGTTCTTCTCTGTGTCTGCTTTGATCGTAGTAATATCTCTGAAACGCACTTGACAGCTCCGGGTCTTTCTGAGAATGACCAGCTAAAACTTCTTTTGACGATAAAGTATCCGACATGCGATTCAGGAAGTTAACGTGCTAAAAAAAAGTAATCCAGAATTCCTGTTAAAGAGGGCTTTCCTGATAAATTCAGGCGAAAGAGAAAGGAGGTGTTAAAACAATTACTCCATCAAAAGGTTTTACGCCTGAAATTATTTTTCGACTCTAAATCGTGCAATTTAGAGTCGAAAAATAATTTGATAAATGGAGGAATTGCGCATTTTCAAGTTGCATTTTGCATTGCGCATTTTCAAGTTAACATTTTCCAAATGCTACTTTTTTCTTTCAGGTATGCTATTCTGAATTCAGTCTCAACTGCTTTTGCAAATTATTTAATACGATCGACGCTATCACCACATTTCAAGGAGAAATTTCATCTTCCTAAAGTTCGATGTTTCTCCGTCATAAATAGTGGAGAACCTGGGCAAAGAACATATTCATAATATGCGGAGGTCCTCGATTAACTGATTGAAAAACAGGCGCATGAATTAGAGCGTTCTCGATGAAGGAGCACTTTACGCGTAATCGCCCCACTTCTTTTTTTTTTTTTTCGCTTGAATAGATGCATGATATTGCTTAAATTGTGACATGGTGAAAATGGATTGAAAAGTCTATTACTATTTTCCACTCCATTAATTCAAGTACCCAACACTCAAATACTCGACAATTCTGACGACTTAAGAGAGCATACAACACGCCTTGAATGTATTTTCAAAAAATTAAGGTTGTTTTTCCAAATTTTAGCCGACCGTAACAAGAAGTAAGATTATAATCACCGTATACAATCAGCTTTGCTGATGGTAGTAGCGATCTAAGCTTGTCCTCGAATATGCGAATATTTTTTGGGATATTCAGAGGTTTCTGAGATATTAAAAAAATCTAGGAAAATTAGAGATATTCATAGCTTTCATAGCTGAAGTATTCGCTTTCCTTGTTTTAACCTTAGAAAAAAAACTCAGTTTTATGAATAAATTTCCGTGACGTTTGCCAAGTTTATCAGCGAGAAAAAATGAGACGTTAAAATGCTTGAGAAATTTTAAAAATTCGATATTTTCCGAAAGATATTTATCAAGCGATTTGACTTGATATTTAGGATAAGCCCTCTAACTTAGAATACCTTTCCCTTGAGCTTTGCCCAATGATCTGTATCCAGCTGCTGGGCGAGTTTTAACGAGGGTACATCTTGTTTAGACCAGTGTGACAAATTCTTCCTATGAGAGCTAAATTAAAACAATGTATTATGTTTCCAAAATCCGCGACAGGTATATAAAGATTTTCCAAAAGAAAATAGAGCTGAGAATGTCTCGTATGTAAATTATCTTCAACCCGAAATATAACGGTAATTTGAACGTATCTGCGCAGTAAATTCACCTGTCAAGATAAATCTCCTTTAAAATAATACAGCTAATTTAAATGAAAAAAAATTATTTTCTCAATCAAATTTCGAAGCGATCTATGATAGCGATCGACTTCTTGGCTGATGTGATATGAACCATCCGATTCTGATCTTTAAATAATGATTCGATCGTCAAGATGATGTATGAGCTAGGTTGTAAATATTCGTGGGAAATAAAGATCTGTTTTAGAGAAATATCGATTGGTAAGCGTTGCAACCAAATTGATAAGGATATTACTTTGCTGCAATTTTATAGGGTTTTCACTTTTTTCATACCAACTTAACTCGACACCGGCTACTGGATATGCAGAGTTTCTTTTGCCTAGTCTACTAACGATCTTCTTAAGTCGAAAACTAATTGCTCCAGAGACTGTAGAAAGTGTAGCATGTTTTTTTCAGACGGTCAGGTAGAGACAAGCAAGCTGATCTCGCTTGAAATGTAAACACTTCGATTCACGAAAATTCAAATTAGCCCATTGACATGAAATGCTTTCTTTTATGCTTGCTTAGAACAAGTCAGAAAACTTTCCACCTCACCTATGTTCCCAAACTTTCGGAAATTCATGGGCGACAAGCGCTCGTGAAATCGCTGGAAGGTGCAAAGTTGTAGCCATTTCGTCCAGCCACCTTTTGTCGCAAACACTCGAGTAACTAGGAGACCCTTGCAAGCTTTTCATTCATGTTTAATTAATTCGGGCTCAAAACAGCTGTTCTCTTGGGAAGAAATCCGCTTCCCTCTGTACAAAAGATGGCTTTATAACACGATGAAGTGTCAACAATGACCATTGTGTTAACAAAGTATGCAACTGTTATTGCATACAGTGCGTAGATTTTATTGTTTATTTGGAAGCTGTCTTTATTCGCATTGAAGAATGTGATGGTCTTTCTATTTATCTAGTCATTTTTTTTTTTTTGGTTAAACGTTGTGCCCTGTAGTTTAAATTGGCCAAAATTTGAATTCAACTCCTATGTTGATAAGCACTCTTTCAGAAACAGTGCAATTTCAAGCAGTATTCATTTTAGCTGTATCAACACAAGCAAGCCGACCAAAGGTCTGAAAGAAGTCTGGTGCGAGACCTCTCGCCAGCTCACCGCGGCCGGCTTTCCTCGCAGTAGGAGAAACGATCGTGTGGCAGAGCTATAAATAGTAATTAATATCGGTTGACTGATTACTCTAGCTGCAATTATTTACCTTCATCAATTACTCAGTCAAAACTGTTTTATATACCACACAGGCGAAACACAGCAATGAAATGATTGCACATACGCACTTAAATGGATAATTACCAGTTTAATCATGGAAAATCTAAATAGGACGTTGTTTTCCACAGTTTCTAGGGAAAGTTCGAAGTTCTATAAGGCCGAGACTTATACACAATGTTGTCCTAAACTTAACCCACTTTGTACAAGTTTACACCCTCGTACTTTTTTCTTCATTGCACGGCGGCGTGATGAAGTTGTCTCTAAAGTTGGCCGCACTGGCTGTAGTTGTTCTTTGTTGTGTTCATGGTGGAGTTTCCGGGAAACAACGAGGCAAATGTGCGAAAAAAAGGAAGAACCAGAGCCACACAGTGACGATTGCAGGTTTATGTTACAGCGCAGTCACTGTGTGCAGCAAGGGTAGAAGAAAGGTTGTGTCATTTTTTTTGCCTTCATTACCGAAACGAAGAGTCCGCGTTAAAAAAAAGTTTGAATATCTCACAATAAAAACAGACCAAGACTTCATCTTTCTTCAAAATCCTCCTTTCATTTGTCTTACGCTTTGGAATATTTATGAATGTAACCATTTCTTCCTCACTTTGCGCTAGACACGCGTTCGGAAATCCCTCTTATTGTTTTTAAACTCTTGTGAATGGGTTGTGTTTGACCCCTGTTCGCAGGTGAATAGTGCTGATGACTAATTTGGATGTGAATAATTAACAATTATTGGACGAGGTTGAGCAAAATATCGTGATTTGTCCGTGGCAAGCAGATCAATTATTTGCCAAAGCCGAAGGTTGAGGCAAATAATTGATCTGCGAGACACTGACAAATCACCACATTTTGCGATAACTGAGTTCAATAATTGTTTTATCATTCGACCACCGAGTTTGTTTTCAACTTTTTGGGGGAAGCGGCAAGCGCGCACTGCTACTAGAAATCCAATGCTTTCCTTCTTAGTTAAATAATTTGCTGTCGACTTTAAATTGTACGTACAGTCAACTGTTAATTAACAAAATGTATGCCTTAAAATGGCTAAAACGTCCAGGAACAAGTTCACAGTCTTCAAGCATTTGAAATCCGAAAAAAAAAAGCGATAATGTTTACACACAAGAGCGTCCACAAGAGCGACCACAAGAGCGTGGTGACTGCTGCGCATGAGCAGAATATTATTTGCGGCAAAAAAACGGAGTTAGACGGTAGTACGCATGAACAGACCATTATTTGTAGGCAGCTATTTGCAGGTCACCTGGTGGACTGCCAGCCAATGAAAATGGGGGAAAAATCCATCGAATGATAACAAGCATTATTATCCAACTGTGCTTCGTAGAGTACAAATAACGCGCGAGACGAATACAAATATCACGCGAAATTTGTACTCTAGAAATATCCGCGAAATTCGCCCGCACTAAAATAACAATTTGGCGTATTGGATACTATAGTGCAACGCTTCTCAAAGATCCAGCGACGCTTTACAATGATAGTGATAGAAAAATATAATCAATTAAGAATTAAAGTGAATAAATGATTATATAGTGGATAATAAATTTCTTGTGAGACGTTTTGTTGTGTAGTATCGC